GGCACTCTAGCCGGGGCAAAAGAGTGAGACTATGTCTTGCGGCGGGGGGGCGGAAAGACACTATATAATCTGGACTATTATATAGATGTAATTTTATCCTTTTTTAAAGAGCATTTCCTTATGTTATTAAATACTTTCTAAAGACATTGCAAAGACCATAAAACATTCCACCATGTGGACTTATTATTGCCTATTATTAGATATATATAAATTTTTAATTATTCACTATTGTAAATAATGATGGGATAAACATTTTTGTACAGTGATCTTGGCCTTAATTTCTATTTACTAAGGCTAGACTCCAGAAAGGGAATTAATGGAACCACGGATATGGAATTTTTTTAAAAAGGCTCCTTTGTATCTGTTACCAAATTGCTTTCCAGGTCTTATAATTTTCACTGGTGAAAAGAAAATTTTTTTCCCCCAAAGATGTTTATAATAATACAAAAAAATTAGCTGTCTAGTAATAGCTTTAAAAATAATTTCATCAAAAAAATTAAGGGCATACTCCAGTGAGTGGGGATATTAATGAAATAAGATTGGCTCTATATGGCTCTATATTGTTGAAGCAATTGCTGGATACACAGGAGTTCTATTTTTGTAAAGTTTTGAACATTTTCATAATAGTATGGTTTTAAGTCCCAATTAAGAGATAAAAACATCTACATGGACTATATATAATCATGAAACAAGTCCTAAAACAAAAGAAATAATTCTATTTCTACTGCCATATGCAAGACAAAACGCTAATTAATTTTTGTCTCCCTGATCAAATGAAACCTGTTTCTGCAGCTAGGTTCTAAGTTGAGTCATTAAATTAGTTGCTAAATTGCTCCCTACAGAACCAAAAAGAAGGATTATAATAAGCATTTCAAGCTCTTTATTTGCATTTGAAGGAAAAAGTCAAACAATTAGCTCCTGAAGTGTAAAAATAGTTCAGACTTAGTTATTAAAGTGTAGCCAACATTTATACATTTACTAAGTATTTAAGAACTTTAGTTTCTCTTTATGCTGGATATTATGCCAGTTTGGGGCTAGGGAGATGTTAGTACCTACAAACACTTAGGAAATAGTTTTAACAAGTCTATTCAATAGCTTAAAAAAACAAAAACAAAAGATAATAACACTGACAGATATCTGAGGAGTTCTGATTATCTACAATATGTCAAGGGTATTAATAAGGCATTCAGAAGCTTGCCACATGAGAAAACAAAACTAGACAATGTATTTGTACCTCTCATCAAACTTTGCCCTGCATTCTGAGTACGTGTACCCCCCACTCCTCCACACAGCTGGCCCCACCTCCCCACTTCCACTTCAATGCTGGATCACTGAGGGTAGAGAGTGCCATGCTAAACTATGACCTCTGCAGGGTCTAGCACAGTGATAGGGGACACATAGGAAGGCACAATAAACATTTACTAATTGGGACAGAAGACTCAACTTTTAAAATGATGGGAAAAAAAGTACTTT